TTTGGGGGCTCATTTTTGGGGGGGGGCTCGTCGGCGTTCGGACAGAAACGGGACGTTTTTTCCTGCCTGACCAAAAAAACAAACCGAACTGTCGGACTGTCGTTTTACGGACAAAAACTGCTGTTTTTTTGGTTGTTTTCACCACAAAATGGAGCTGATAAGAGCTCAAATCAAGCTGAGAGCTCAGACAACAGGAAGTGGTCCGGCCTCGATTAACTGAGTCCATCAGAAACAAACAGAATTAAACATTTAGGCTCATGGGGGAGATTTAACCCTCACATCTGATCTGGAAACATGTCTGTGGCAGAATCAGAGGTGATTTTCGTCCCTTTTACTGGAGACAAACGTGGGTCAGTCGGTCATTCAGCTCTTTAATAAATAATCTGAACATCAGAACCAAACTGGGTCCAAACTGATGATGATTTCATTCTTAATCAGTGAAGTTTTAGTCATAAATTCGGACGGTTTGCCTCTGAACGGTTCGGGGATGTAACGGTTATTTCTGCTGGTGCCACCGGAGGGAGGCGTGTCCAGAAGAACACGCTAAGCTGTATTTATGAAGTAAAAGTGCAATGGCGAGAAAAATTCTTCTTTTTGTATTTAAGTCTCCTGATTTGTCAGTTTATTGGTTAAAACTTGTCTTTGAATGTTTCATTTTTAGGGATTTCATTGTATGAAGATCAAACGTTTACCTGGAAATAAAAATAAACCACTTTGGAAAGAGTCTGGCTGTTTGACTTTATTTGTAATCGGACTTTTAACCCTATAATGCCAAATGTATCACATTTGATACGGTTTCTGAAGTGTTTTGGATCTGAGACTTTTTGCATCATTCAGTGGTAAAAGCTTTGCTCAAACCCCTGTTGTACACATTCAGATACACCTGATAACAGCCAGTAGAAGACTACACCAAAATATATTTTTGACTTATTGCACGCTAATTTGATCAAAATAATTTCTGTTTTTTCTTTCTTCATATGTTGTTGAGGGGCCAAAGAAAGACTTCAGCCTAAAACAATCTAATATTCTTCCTATTTTTCTTGGATCAGGCTTTAAAGGGTTAAGCAGCTCAGATCTTTCTGTTGCGTTTGAATTGAGCTGAAATTGGATCTGCGGACGACCAGCTCTGACCAATCAGCTGTCAGACAAACCGCGGCTGAGTCAGACGTTCCCGTCTAAGAGTTTAAACACGTCTGACATCATTTTTAATTGAACAGATGTTTCTGTGTTTGCTCTGGAGG